GTGATAGCACTAGAAATACAAGTAGGACACTTAACCCCATTGCCTCACCAAAAAGCCAAAAAAAAAATAGAAATACAAGTAGGCAGACAGTCCCTGCCTTCAACAAGCATTATAATGGCAGAAGATAACACATAAAAGGCAATTGAAAATGAGGGGTAGGAGATGAAGGCAGCATGGTAGGAGTGCAGCCTAGAGAGGAGGGAAAATATGATTGGCTTGGGTCTTTTAAAATGGAGGTTTGGGGAGGAACCAGCTAATTGGAAGGGAGAGGGGTGCCTTGCAGTGTGAGAAGTACCCGGGGGGAGTGGGCATCCAGGCTGAAGAGATTTCTGAGAGGGTTAGGAGTGCAGCCTGGAGAGGATTGACTCCAAACGGGGAGGAATGTGGCACTAAACAGATTTTTAAAATTTATGCTGATGTTTATTATTTTTCCTTTCTCCTCTCCCATCCCTCCTAGCCCCAAGGGTAGGACCCATATCCTGTCACAGCTGTGAGTTGTGGCAAATTTTATGATACAGAGGTAGTTAGGTGGCATAGTGTATACTTCGTTAGACTCAGAGTCAGGAAGACCTGAGTTCAAATTCTGCCCTCATCTGCTTCCTAACTTTGTGATCCTAGGCAAATCACTTAATCTTTCTCAGCCTCAATTTCCTCATCTGTAAAATGGAGATAATAAAATGGACTGTCATAAGGGTCAAATGAAGTAATATCTAAAGTGCTTACAAACTTTAAAGCACTATATAAATGCTCACTATTATAATAGAAATGTTCCTGATTTGGGAGAGTATGTAATGCAATGGGTGGGAAATCCTACCAAGTTAGGAGCTAGAATTTTCATATGAAAAAAGCAAAAATTTTTCTCCAGGTTATAGTGTAGAACCTGGTGCAGTTGCAGGGTCCACAGGAAGATCAGTAGAATCTAGGGGACTGGAGAAAACTGAAGCCCAGGCTAAGCTGCAGAGATTTCTTTATCAGAGGAGGCAACAAATATAAGAGTTTAGCAGAGACTTCTCTAAGTTTGCTATACTCACTGTCAGACTGTGGATGCATACAGATGGCTCTGCACTCCAGCTGCTGAAAAGCCTCAGCAGGATGGCTGAATTCTAGGGGCATCTAACCCTCTTCAGTGGTTTGCCTTGGCATTACTATTACCTTCCACCCTCTTTATATTCCACTTCTTTTCCTTGACTTTTTTTCCCTTAACTTAATTTCCATTTTAATTATAAATTATATGGGGGTGGGTAGGTGGTGCAGTGAATAGAGCACTGGGCCTGGAATCATTGAAAACCCAAGTTCAAATCCAGTGTCAGACGCTTAACTAAGTATGCGACCCTGGGCAAATCAGTGAACCTCTGTTTGCCTCAGTTTCCTCAACTGTAAAAGGGAGAGGGGGAAGTTATTCTAGCACCTGCTTCCCAGTGTTGTTGTGAGGATTAAATAGGATAATAAATTTGTAAAGTGCTTAGCACAGTGCATGCCATGCAGTAGGCACTATATAAGAGCTTATTCCTTTCTACCACATGAGATGTTTGCTGGACTCTTAAAAATCTCAAATTCTTTCCTCATTTGGTGGGAGTGGGGAGGGAGGGGAAGGATGCAGTGAGGAGGTGTGGAACCGGCTATAATCCCAGGGTGACGTTGTAATTCTGGACCAGTAGGCTAGGTCCCTGGGAAAGGTAGGGGCACATGATGGGGTAATGTTTTCTTGTCTACCCATAGGCTCGGATTCATGTCCTTTTTGGAATTCTTTGTTGTAGGAATTCTTGGTAGAACAGTCTAGTTCTTTGTTCCACACCTTTATTTATTTGGTACTAGCAAAGCATATATTCTCAGGGGAACCCTGTGTGAGGGACAGGAGTTGTAGAATAAAATGTGTAGTTAAAGCAGTCTCTCTGAATTTGAATTCCATCTCTCCTTTTAACAACCCTAGAGCCATGGCAGGCAAATCTGGGGAGACCCTGATTCAGGAGAAATTTGGTGGCTTGAAAGATTCTTTTGTCTTTGAAGTCATTTTAAAGTTTGGTGATGATAGATATGGGTAAGTTAGTTTTTAGCTTCTTATTTTTAGAGTTCTGTGGATTTTTCTGTTGGCAAAGTATCATTTGTTTTCCTTGATTCTGGAAAGTTCTTAAATAATTTTTTTACAATAAGTGATCAAAGGTTGACAGACATGAATCAATCAGTCATTCTAGATGTTTCTACCTGTCTTCTTTTCAAAAGTTAAAAACCAAGGGATGGATTTGACTTTTTGTCATTATGGTGGTGGGGGGGGGGTTAATGCAATTTAAAAAAAATTAATTAGAAAACGTTTTCATTAAAAAAGACTAATTCTAAAAATGAATTAATGTAATGGGAGTCTAAAGCTTATTTGGCTGATATATTCTCTCCATGTAGAGGACTCTGGGTAGATGGCTTCTGGGAGAATTGTGATGACATGTAAGAGACTATAGAGCATATACGGATAATTCTGTAACTGGTTCCACTTCATGTGATGGAGGAGAAGCTCTTTGATTGGCTGTTGAGGCAGAGAGTTTCAAAATGTCAGCAAGCAAGCCACAGAAATCCCAGAGTCAGACCAGGTATTGCAACCAGCTCAGTACTGATGTACCAAGGAGCAAAGAATGGTCTTTAGGTCCCTCCTCCCCTAATCTTCTAGTCCTCCTCACAGTGGAAACTGATATGAGGACCTGTCCAGCACCACTTACTGCCTTTGGATTTGAATGTGGTAGGACCACTGCTATGTTGGAACTGAGCTAAGATTTGAACCTCCTTTCCCAGAGGCTAAGGTGTTAATAGGCAGATGTGCCCTTGGAGGTATTGGGGTAAAGGGGGACACCTGTACTTGTTCTTGGTATATCTTTGAATATCCTTTTGTAAAAGTCAGTCATTGTTAAATGGTTAAATTGAATTGAGGTGCTAGTCACTGGCCCCTAACAATGGGGAGAGAAAATATCTGGCATAGACCATTAGAAGAAAAACATGCCAACCCTTCTGGAACCCTTAAAGGCAAATGTGGCAGCCCTGGCCAGGAGAGAGGGCCAGAACATGTGTTCCATTAAATTTTGAAATAGAGAAAAGCTTCTTTATAATAGTGTTTTTAAGCCAGTTTTCCTCAGAAATATTAGGCATAGGGTCCTGTTCTCTAAATTGGACTGTCAGGGTCATTTGTGGCTACTTTTTGATAACCCTTCCTTAATCCTGTTGCCTTTTTCCTGACAATCTTTCTGTCTCTTTCTTCTCTGTCCCTACTTAATTTCATTTCAATAGACATTTATTAAGTGCCAGCTTTGTGCTGGATACAGAGATAAAAATGAAAAAAAGTTCCTGCCCTGAAGGACTTTCCATTTCAGTGGAGGATTGTAACACACATTTATAAAAGTAAATACAAAGTAATTTGAAGAGGGAGAGAGCATTAACAACTAGAACGGCTGGGGTGGGGGTGTGGTGATGCCTGAGCTGAATGATGCCTGAGCTGAACCTTGGAAGAAGATAAGGATGCTGAAAGTGAGGTTTAAGGAGAAGTATGGGAAACAGCTGTGAGCACATGGACAGACAGGAGCTGAAATGTCAAGGACAAGAAATAGTTTAATGGAGTGCAGATGTAGGAATCATGGGAAATAAGTCTGAAAAGGGAGGGTGGAAGCCAGATGATTAAAGCCTTCAATTTCAGGTCAAGAAATTGGTATTTTATCCTAGAGGCAGAAGGAAGTCACTGAAATAGGAAGGCTATTCTTAATCGCTATATGGAAGCTGTATTGGACAAGGAAGAAAGTAGAAATTAAATTAGAAGACTGATATAATAGTGTGGGTGAGAGGTGATGAAGCTTTCAATTAGGATGATGGTTGTGTTAATGGAGTGGTATATATATGTGTACACATGTAGATGTAAAATATATATACATACATATTTCTCTGTTTTGTACGTGAGGCCTTACTGAAATCTAGAAATAATATAACATTTTCCTGAACTACCAGTCTACTAACTGAAATGAAATTTAAAATGATTTGTTCATAGGAAGTCTATGTTGGTTTCCAGTATTATTGTTTCCTGTCATATATAGACCATTTATTTAATAATCTCTTCTGTAATTTTTTTTTTGGCTAAGCCATGGGGTTAAGTGACTTACCCAGGGTCACAGAGCTAGTGTCAAATGTCTGAGGCCACATTTGAACTCAGGTCCTCCTGACTCAGGACTGGTGCTCTATCCACTGCGCGACCTAGCTGCCCCATCTTCTATAATTTTGCTGGAAATCAACAGTAAACCTTAATAATGAAAAATCTACCTCTTTGCCCTTCATGAAAATTATAGGCAAATCAAGGCAAGAATTTGTTACTTCTAATTTTAGTGGAATAAGATGTACAAGAGATCAGAAAATCACAGAATTTTGGAGTTGGAAAGGGTCTGTATGACCATCTAGCCTATCCTACATCTGAAAAGGAATCCATATGGTCACATGTCCAAAAAGGGCTCATCCAGCCTCTGCCTGAAGACTTCCACTGGGGGAGAATCCAGTACTTTTTGTGGCAACCCATTCTACTTTGGGGTACCTCTAATTACTAGGAAAGTTTTGTAGACACAGTGCTTAAATTTGCTTCATTGTGACTTCTACCAATGACTTTTGGCTCTGCCATCAGGGGCCAAACACAAGTGCAATCTCTCTTCCACATTGTAGCCTTTAATAAAGTGTTTTTATAGCATTTTGTGTACTGTGTTGGTGATTTTCAGTTTGGTTAATTCAGTAATACTCACATGAGAGAAGTGATTATCATTCCCATTTTGCAGATGAGAAACTTGAAGCCACAAGTAGTTGACATTGCTGAGAGACAGAAAAAAAAGACAGAGACAGGGATAAAAGGGGAGAGAGAAGGGGGGAGAGGGCAGGGAAGGGACAGATCACCTGCCCTGTTTCCTATTAAATTGCTCTGGCCCTTCCGTGTTTCATTTTGTTTTTTCTGTGTAGTAATGTAATCAAAACTCTTTGATTCGTTTTCCCCAAAGGCATGCCATATATCAGCAGAACAGTGAAAACTTCCAGGATGAATGTGCCAAGATGCTAGTTGGCAACATTGTTATAACCCGATACAACAATCGTACCTATCGTATTGATGACATTGACTGGAATAAGACTCCAAAAGATAGCTTCATAATGTCTGATGGGAAGGAGATTACATTCTTGGAATACTACAGGTAGGAAAGACTAAGTGTGGGCCCAGAGAAGGAAGAGGATGAAGGAACTTGCATCTCATTGTAGAGCATGCCTGTGTTTCCTCATCTGTAAAATGGGGATAATAATAGCAAGTGCCTCCCAGAGTTGCTGTGAGGATAAAATGAGAATTATTTGTAAAACACTTCACAAACCTTGAAGTGCCATATATTTAAATGGTCACTATTATTATAATTATTATTTTGGTATAGCTGGTTGGGTAAGGAGGCTGGATGAAGAGATCATTAAAATAACTGAGCTAATGATTTGTTCATATTTAGTCCTGTCTGGTTAACAAAGCCTTGAACCTGGTGGCAGTAGATTACAAACTCTTTGTAGATTAAATATTTTACCTTACCGCCACTTAATTTACATAGAAAATTGATTTTTTTTTGACACTATTGCTAAATGATGAGCTCTTCCCAATGGATTCCTGACAAGGACTGTTATGAAAATGTTATGCCACACAACTGCTTAAGAAGCTCAGTTAGTGGAACTTGTCACTTTAGGAACATAAATGTTCTGAACACTTCTTCTGCCTCTGCCTTTCTCTAGCAAAAACTATGGAATCACAGTCAAGGAAGAGCACCAGGCACTTCTGATCCACAGGCCCAGCGAAAGGCAGAATAACCAAGGGAGGGTGAGTGGGACTGACATCTACACTTCTCTGTTAAGTTCTTGGCTACTCTCAACCATCTCCAGAACAGTCTGATAACTTTCAAGAACCATGGATTACAGTGTAGTTGCAAAATTAGGTCCAGTATTTTTCATATGACATGAGTTCCTTAAGCTTTGCAATGACTGCCTACCTCATGAGGGTATGAGGAATATATTTTGGGGATTGTAAAATGCTGTATACATGTGAAGAATAATGTAGTCGGAGCAGCCCCTTGACACTTTCTCATAAATAGTGTCTGTAAAGAAGCATTAGAAAGCATCTTGAGGGATCCAAGTTAAATAAAAGGAAAAATTTCCTGAGCATGAATGATAAAATATCAGACCAGTTTAATTAGGGAAGTTGTAGAATCTCCTTTCTTTCGAGAAAGCAGTCTTAACCTTCTACATACACCCTCCAGATTGGCTTCATCACATGTCATCAGATGCAAACACTGAAGGCAGAAAAAAGTAGGAATGGAGGAGATGAGCTATGTGCCCCCCACACACATACTGGCTAGCCACACTGTTCACCACGGGATGGCTGTAGCTGTGTCTTGGGACTTAGAACTGAGACAAGTCTCTTTTCCTAGTTTTACCTTTTCTCTTGATAACATCAATATTGTACAGTCTACTGGTAACTACATGCTTTTTAAAATAACAGCTCAAGCTAAGAAAGTTTCTGATGTATTAAGGAACAAAATAAAATTACTGAGATTTAATGCTTTCTTATTCAGAACCTTGTAATGCTGGGTATAGCAAACCAAAGGATGTACCTGAAAACCATGATATATGCACAGCTAGGCATGTAGTCAACAGTCACCAAAAAGCAATGGGAATTGTATGGTTTCCCACCGTGTCTCTTCTTCATTATTTCCTCCTTTTACTTTTTTCTTCCCTCAGCTTTTAAAAGGAGAGATCTTACTACTTCCAGAGCTATCCTTCATGACTGGGATCCCAGAAAAAATGAAGAAAGACTTTAGAGCCATGAAGGTTAGAATCCTACAGTCTCTAGCACATTATTATCATGATGTAACAAGACAACTCTTGCTTTAAAGGAAGATCTTTAATAATTGAGCTGAGAAATTAGTGATGTGTATATACTGATCTCCATTATGACTTTAAGCAAGCCTCTTCATTATTTAATGCTTCAGTTTTTCCCCCTTGTAAATTAGGGCGAAATTATTTTCTTCCCAAGGATACAATGAATGTTTGAATTCATAGAAAACTACTATTTTAGAAGTGCAAGGAACTTGGAGATCATCTATTCCAACCTCCTTATTTTATTCCAAGAGGTAAAGCGATTTGCCCAGTGTCAGACAGGTAAGTAAGAGTGAAGGAATTTGAACCTAGTTTCTGTGATTCAAAGTCCTGTGCTCTTGTCACTGTCCCACACTGCTACTTGGCTCTTTGAAGAAAGATGTTGGAGAAATAGAAGGAGCCATAAATAATGTTGGTTTTGAGCAGTGAATTCTTCTAACCTTTGATTTCTGCCTTCATTTCCTTAATTTCTTTTAATATATTCTAGCCTAGAAGTCCTGCTAAGGACTTGACTTTTTGAAACTTTTAAAGGCTCAAACTGGATTAAAACCACATTTCCTCCAAATTCTATGCAAGCTGCCTATAGTCTTCTGCCTAGCCTATGTTAGCTTCACTTGTTTTCAAGTACTTGTCTCAGATGACAGTGGTTTGCTATCAGTACTATCATATAGGATGTAGAATGATGTCAGAGATCACTATCTAGTAAAAGGTTTCTTTCCTTTTCCTTCATGCCAAAGTTCAACCCTACCTACCGCTCCAGTTGCCAAATGAATTAACATCACAAAGCATTTTTATAGGAGTCACACACACATTGACACTGATAACTGCCTTGTAGGGTGTGGTAAATGTAAATTTATCAGTCTCACAGAATAAAAATAATTTACAAAGAAATTCATTCATGCTTTTTATACCTTCATATATAACTGCTGGCAGGAACCTGTCTCATGCTTAAAGCTGTCATTTGGTAAAGCTAAATAGCTTGTTAGACCTCTGAGCTGGAAGCTGTCTAGACGCATAATTTCTAGGTAGGGGTTCTTAACCTTTTTTTAATGTCTTGGATCCCTTTGGCAGTCTGTTGGAGACTGTGGGTCTTTTTTTTTTCTTTTTCTTTTTTGCAAGGCAGTTGGAGTTAAGTGACTTGCCCAGGGTCACACAGCTAGTGAGTATCAAGTGTCTAAGATTGGATTTGAACTCAGGTCTTCCTGACTCCAGGGCCAGTGCTCTATCCACTGCACCACCTAGTTGCCCCTATAGGTCCTTTTCTCAGAAAGTTTATAAATGCGTAAAGTAAAATACATTGCTTGCTGTCCTTTGTTCTTGAAGAGGACCAAAATGATATCACTATGTTAGAGTCAACTTACAGTGTGTTCAGCTGGCTGATCAGATCAGTATGAGCTTGGAATATTTTACCACAGGTTGGGCACAAATAGTCCATGTGAACATTCAGGGAGAATTCTCTAACTTTGTGCATCTAGAGTTTCTTTTGAGCTACTTCAATTCTGCTTTGCTCATAGAGCACAACACTTTATTTGATGAGGGCATGCCATGCTGGGTGGTCCTGTACCAGCATCTCCCATGTCACACAAGCAATTCCAGAATTCTTCAGAGAGACCTTGTATGCTTCTGACTTCCATGTGAGCACTTGCCTGTGTGAGTTCATCATAAAATAGTCTTTTAGGCAAGCCCATCAGAGTTGTGCTCTCTGCAATAGAGTTGGAATGCTTGGCAGTTCAGTTCAAGAAAGGACCTCAGTGCCTGGTACTTTATCTTGCCAGGTGATTTTCAGAATCTTCCTAAGACAATTTAAATGGAAGCGATTCAGTTTCCTGGCACGGTGCTGGTGTACTGTCTAGGTTTCACAGGCATATAACAATGAGGTCAGTACAATGGCTCTTAGACCTTCAGTTTGGTAGTCAGTCTAATACTTCTTCTCTCCCACACTTTCCTTTGGAGCCTCCCACATGCTGAGCTAACTCTGGCTAATCAACCTCATTATCAATGTGTACATCCCTGGAAAGTACACTGCCAAGGTAAGTGAACTTACCCACAGTATTCAAAACTTCTCTGTTTGCTGTAACTTAGGGTTCCGTGTATGAATAGTGTGGTGCTGGCTGGTGGAGCACCTGTGTTTTCTTGGTGTTAATTGTTAGGCCAGAATTAGCATAAGCAGTAGAGAATCGATCCATACTTTGTTGTATCTCAGCTTCCGAGGCTGCATTGAGTGCACAATTATCTGCAAATAAAAAATCATGCACCAACACTCCCTCCACTTTGGTCTTGGCTTATAGCCTTTCCAAGTTGAAGAATTTACCATCAGTGTGGTAGCTGACCTTGCTGCCATGTTCATCCTCATTGAAGGCATTTGACAACATGGCTGAAAACATCATGCTAAAAAAAAAGCATGGGAGGGAGCACACAGCCTTGTTTTGCTCCATTGGTGACGGGCAAAGCGCAGGAGCATTGTCCATTATCTAGAACTCAGGCAAGCATGCTGTCATGAAATTGACTTACAGTGTTGATGAACTTCTCCACGTAACCACATTTTGACGTAATTTTCCATAAGCCCTCGTGACTGACAGTATCAGAGGCCTTGGTCAGATCTACAGACATTGTGTACAGACCTCTGTTCTGCTCCTGGCATTTCTACTGGAGTTGTTAGGCAGCAAAAACCATATCAAGCATTCCTTGACCCTTTCTGAAGCCACATTGGCTCTCAGGTAGATGGTGAAGGATCAGCCTATTAAGGCTGCCTTACAGCTATTAAGGCCTATTAAGGAGGGCTCTGGCAAGAATCTTCTCAGCAATGACAGAGAGAGAGAGACCCCCTGTGATTGTCACAGGACAATCTATTTCTTTTACCTTTCTAAACATGGGCATTGGAGGCATCCTTGAATTCCTGGGAGATAATCTCCTCTTACCATATATGCCAGAAAATTTTAGTCAGCTTTTTTATGAACAATGGACCTCCCACCTTGTAAATCTGAGCTGGAATAGAGTAAGCACAAGGTGCTTTGCTGTAGGAGAGGAGACTAATGGCATTCAAAACCTCTTCTTCAGTTGGCAGTTTGTCTAGAGAAGGATTTACTGCAACCTGAGGTAAATGGTCAGTGGCTTCAGCATTGATTGATGATGGCCTGTTGAGAACACTATGGAAGTGTTCAGCCCACCTCTTTAGGATCATGTCCTTATCACTAATCAATGTGGCTCCATCAGCACTGAGTAGTTGAGATGCACCATATATCCTTAGCCCATAAATAACCTTCAGGACATCATAAAAACGCTTTGGATTGTTACTATTCTGCCTTCCATTAGTATTCTGCCTTCTTACTGACCCAAGAATCCTGCATCTCTCTAAGCTTCACACGTACTTTACTTTTGATGGAATGAAATGCTGCCATCTTAGAGATAAATGAATTATCCTGCTGGTAAACCCTGTGGAGTTCTCATTTTTCATTTAGCAGCTTCTGAATTTCCCCATCATTTTCATCAAACCAATCTTGATGTTTGCAAGTGTTCTGACCCAGATGAGCAAATGCAGTGCTGTACACCAACTCTCTGAAAGCTGCCCGCTCCTGTTCTGCTCCACTGTTGCCAACTGTGTGTTGGCTCAACTTTCCTTCCAAGTTAGCAGCAAACCGTTCCTGCTCAGAAAAGTGTTCTAATCTGTTGACATTAAGTCTTCTGGTAGTCATTTTGCCTTGGGGCCCCACTGCTTTTGTTGAATGTGAATATTTAGCTTAAAGAAGATAAGTCTACAATTAGTCTAGCACTCTCACACATTGCCTTCCTCACTCTCACATCCTGTCTGTCCCTTCTCCTTACATAGGTTTATGAAGGAAGTCAATTGTATTGAAATATAATTTTTAAGAACTTTTTTTTTTGCTTTTCAGTGAGGCAGTTGGGGTTAAGTGACTTGCCCAGGGTCACACAGTAAGTGTCAAGTGTCTGAGGTCAGATTTGAACTCAGGTCCTCCTGACTCCAAGGAGCTCTATCCACTGCACCACTTAGCTGCCCCTAAAAAACATTTTCAAACAAGTTCACAAACGACAGGTTAAGAACCCTTTCTTTAGATCTGGAAGTGCTAGGTATACTGGGTAATGATAGAACTTGTCTCTCTTACAGTTTATTACATGGGCATAATCAAATCCCCTGGCTAATGATTTATATCAAATAGAATTTAATATAGAGGCATCCAGGTGGTATAGTGCTTATAGTTCCTGGGCTTAGATCCAGGAAGACCTAAGTTTGAATTCTGCCTCAGATATTTACTTATTAGCTATGTGACTCTGGGTAAGTCACAGTTTTTGTAAAAGGGACTAATAACAGCTCCTGCCTCACAGGATTATTATGAAAATCAAATGAGATAATATCTGTAAAGCACTTCACAAACCTTAAAGTGCTATGTAAATATTGGCTATTATTATTGTTATGTGACAGACTTTAGATCTAGGAATTGAAAATGTACCTTTTCTGGAAATTATCTCATATGATTAAAGTAATATTTTTTTAAAATATTGTTAAAATCATTAACACTCTGCACTTTATTCACCTTTGTATTTTCAGGAGGGGTTTCCCCACACACACATATTGTTTTCAGATACTCTTAATAAATGTTTGTAGGACCAGCCCCTTCCTAAGAGAAAAAGAAAAAATTTTAGCACATTCTTTTTCTCTGTGTGTGTGTATGTATGTGTGTATGTTGGTTAGATCTTTTTTTCCTTGGAAAAGTTTTATTGGCACGTCTTTTTTTTTTTTTTTTGAAACATCATTTCCCCTTCCCAGTGACTAAGCCCACCTTGTAACAAATTAGTAGTTAAACAATACACTGGCATGTCACCAAATGTATGTCTCATGTTGGATCATTTCTGTGCTAAATAGTAGGAAGTATGCTTCCCCTGTGTTGCTCAGTGTACATCATTAATGTAGTCATTGTGTAAATGTTAAAGGGCATTTTATAAATCTTTGAGGCCCTTGTAAATCCTTGCTAATTTTATTGGGAAGGAGTTTTCACAAATCCACATTTTGAAAGCAGTGCTGTTATGTAGCCCTGAATTAGGAGAAACAATCCTCATGATGCTTTATTCTTCTTCCAATTTTATGTAGGATTTAACCCAACAGATCAACCTAAGCCCTGAACAGCACCACACTGCCCTGGGAAACCTCCTGCAGAAAATTTCAAAGAATGAGATGGCCAGCAATGAAATGATACGATGGGGGCTCTGTCTGGATACAGATGTGCATAAGGCAAGCTGGAAGAATGTGGGAGGGGAGTCAGAATCAGTACTAGAGATTTAGGGAGCATTAGGAAAGTGAAAGGCGCGATATCGGGATGTTAAATGCCTTTGATTTGTTCTTGAGCATCTTTTCTAGTTGTAATGTTTCTTTCTGGGTTTCCATCAAACTTGAATTTCCTTAATCTGATTTTTCAGTGTCTTTTATAATTTTTTTCTGGGTTTCCCAGGGATATAGGCTATATTTCATCAAACTAGAACTAAGGATGCCATTTGGCATTTGTTATATTTAAATGTTCTTTAAGGCTTTATATGACGTTTTTTGCTTCCAGGATTTCTGTGGGTCCTTTTTCTTCTCCTTCCTCTAAATATGGCTTTTTTTTTTTTAAATACAGACCATAGAATTTTCAGACTGTCCTCTTTTCTAATTCTGTTCTGATCTTTCTGTCCTAAATACTGTTTGGATCTGTACTTTACAATTTCTTTTTCTTTGACAATACTTACATTTGCCTTTTGTGGTCTTCTGTTCTACATCCTGTCCTTTCTTTTCATTCTTTATATATTAATTGTGGTTTTCTTGTAGTGCTCTTACCCTCAGAATCTCTGGATTGGAAGAGCCCTTAGAGACCAGTTAGTCTTACCTCTCCCTGGCCATGGCAGCTTATGCCACTTTAGGACAGCTCTGTTGGTTAGAATGCTTTTCTTTACATCAAGCCTGAGTGTACTTTCTATAACTTCTCTCTCGTAATCCAAGTTCTGTCTTCTGGAACTCAGCAGAACAAGTTTTTGCCATGAAAACCTTTCATATACTTGGAGATAACTGTAATGCCTCCCTCCACTGTAACAGCAAACAAACCCATCAACTTGTTTCTCCAGATTAAAAATTAGTTGTTTCTTCAGAAGATCCTCATGTCACATTATCTTTAGTGCCTTTGCTATCTTAGAAACACTTGAGTTTGTCAGTGTCCTTCCTAAGACATGACCCCCAGAATCCATGGAAGAAGGTCATATTCTAGATGGGGTCTGACCAGGGCAAAATGCAGTGGGACCCACTAGCTGCCTCATGCTGAAGACTGTGACTCAAGCTAGCACTTGTTTTGGCTGTCATGTCACACTGTTGACTAGTAATAAGCTTCCAGTCTACCGACACTGAGACTTTGTGCCCATGAATTATTGTCTGGTCATGCTTTCCCCAGCTTGTATTAAGCTTTTGACAGATAAAGAACTCCAGCAGATAGGCACATAGTTGAAGGTTCCATATTGGTACAGGTTTGTGATCTCTTTCCTGAACTTCTTTGTCTAATTCATGCTCATGTCCAGGTTGTATATAGTCTACTCTGCCCCCATGACAAGTTCTGTTTCTCCTGCCATGTGGTAATAGAGCAGAAAGAGCACTGGCTTTGGAGTCAGAAGGGCTGAGTTCAAATCTTCAGTTACTTACTATGTATCTCTCAAGTTCAACACATCTGAAACATTATCTTTCCCCTTAAAATCCTCTTGTGTTTTAAACTACTCTATTACTGTTGAGTGGACCACCATCCTCCCAGTCACCCAGACTTTCAGTCTAGGTGTCATGCTCAATTTCTCATTCACACTCACTCCACATAGCCAATCAGTTGCTAACATTTGATATTTCTACCTTCACAGCGTCTCTCATGTAGGTCCCTTCTTTCTCTTCATGTAGTTGCCATCTTAGTACAGTTCCTTATCAGCTCATGCCTGGACTATTTCAGTACCCTGCTAATTGGTCTCCCTGCCTCAAACCTGTCCCCACTCCAATCCATTTTCCACTTATCTGCCGAAGTGATGTTGCTAAAGCACAGGCCCTGACCATGCTCTTACTCAGTAAAGTCCAGTGGCTCCCTATTACCTTGAGGATCAAATATAAAATCCTCCTGCTTTTAAAACCCTTCACTAGCTGACTCCTTCTACCTTTTCCAGTCCTCTTATACTTTATTCCCCTTATAAGAACTTTATGATTTAGCTATGCCGCTTTGAACTTGAACTCAGCCTCTCATCTCCTAACTCCAGGCTTTTCCCCTGGCTGCCCTCCTTGCATGGAATGCTCTCCCTCCTCATCTCCACTTCCTGGCTTCTCTGGCTTCCTTCAAGTCCCAGCTCAGATCCCAGCTTCTGCAAGAGGCTTTTCCTGGTTTCCTCCACTGCCAGTGTCTTCCCTTGGAGATTCCTTTCCATTTACATTATATGCATTTTAGTTGTACATAGTTATAGCATACTGTCTCCCCCATTAGTATGGGAGTTCCTTAAGGACAGGGACTGTTTTTGCCTTTTTTGTGTGTGTCTCCAGTACTTAGCACAATGGCTGGCATGTAGTAAACATTTATTAAACACTTGTTGACTGATTCAATCTCTTGGGGCTCTAGTTTTTTCATTGGTAAAAGGAGAGTTTGGACCAGATAGCATATTAGGTCACTTCGAGCTTTAAATTTGTGACCCTATGGAATCCATTCAGATGATCAAATGCTCTTCACTATGTGTTCTTCCTTGAGTCCCTAGATTTTCATATACATCTTAATATTAAAAAAAATCTTGATCTAATTCATAAGAGTTTAGGCAAATTTATTTTTATGTACCTTGTTGGATATATTCCATTCTAGTCCAAGAGCTCTTCCTTCCTGTCTTTCTGTATCCCTTTTGTTCTTAGCTTGTATCTATTCCTTTTTGTTTACATTAGCTGTTTTTATTCTAGTATTTAGAGTGTGACCTTTGTTTAGCATTAGCCTTTAACTTCATAAAATATTGCCCTGAGACATACTCTTTTTCTCCTTTGCTTTTTTCTTTCATTCCAGTATTTATTCTTTGAAAGGCTTAATCTCTTTACCTTGAAGAAGCCCTTTGGAATCCAGTTGTTATATCCATATAAAGCACCAGTAGGTTCTAGTTAAAAAGATTTCTTTTCTCTTAGGTGGCTATAATACATAGTATGTGATACTTTTCATATTATCACATAACTTGAAAAATAAAGTATTCATCAGGTCTGAAGGAGAAAGGTTGTTAACTGAGTAGGGATCAGATAAAATTTCATGGAAGAAGTATCATGTGAAATAGGCTACAAATATTGTATAGGAATTCAGCAGGTGAAGAGGAGAAGGAGAGGCATTCAAAGCACAGAAGACAATGTGAGCAAAAGAAAAGGGGGTTGGAAAGTAGTGCTCCTTTGGATGGCAGGAAATAGTCCATTTTGCAATGTAGGATACATGGTGGGGGCAGCATGAGACAAGGCTAGGAAGTTAGGGTGGCACGGGTTGAGGGGCCTAGAATACCAGGCATAGGCATTTGAACTTCACTCAGGAGGCTCTGGGGAGTTCCAGAAGCTTTTGAACAGAGGGCTGGCATGAGAAAAGATTATTCTGGCAGCAGTAAGGATGTCTCTTGGGGGCATTGTTGGAAGTGGGGGGGGTGGGGGGAGATTTCCTAGAAATTTCACCTCCATTTGGAAGGTGATTATATGCCCAGGTCAGCATTAACACATTCCTTAACAGTTTCCTTATTTCTCCTGACTCAGTGACTGTGTTTATCCTGAAACTGCCAGTCTCAAAACCCCTAATGGGATCAGTACACTGTAATTGATCTGCCTACATCTCTATTGGGCAATGTCAGACTTACATTTAAGTGATTTCGGGTCATTTGTTCCTTAGAATTATTATTTTTTATTTAGATTTCAGGGCGTGTTCTACCAATGGAAAGAATAAACTTGAGAAACAGTTCATTCATCACATCTCAGGAATTAAACTGGACTAAGGAAGTAACCCGAGAAGCTTCCATTTTGACAGTAAGTAATTTGTTGAACTGACAAAGAAAACATTAGCATTCCTGAGGCTCTGACAGGCGAAGCAAGAAGATTTGGTAGCCATTTTTGTAAAGAGACTGCCAGCCAAATGGTAAATTGTGGATTCTGATTTTCCATCCCAAAGGACTCACCTCCTGTGCTAACTCGCTGGCTGGTAAGGCAGCAGAAGCAGCACTCTCACTGATTGCTGGCTCCTCAAAGTGAACAAGAGCCGTCCTGTGAGAGTTTTTGTTGGTCTGGCTGAAGGACAGTGCGTGCATTGTATTTATGCCTGACAGGGGAGTCCGTTGCCCTCTTTTACACTTTTTTTCCCCAAGGATATAAAAAAGGATCCACTAGAATCCAGAGTTCACCACCATATTACCGTGAAGTTTATCGGAGAAGACAGCAGGGAAGATATGCTCAATGCTTTGTTGGCTACCTGGTCTTAATAGCTGTGTCTCTGATAGAGTACAGCAGTTCTGTGGTAGCAGTTAGGTAAGGCAGGACCTAAGCACAGAAGCAAGGAATGTATACTCAGTGGACAAATCATAAACCTGAAAATGGCCCACAGACAGTCCGCTTGGACTGTTTGAGAGTCTTTTCTAGTGTCTGCTCAAACCTATTTTGCAGACTTCTGCTATACTTAAACATTTGTGGCTGTCCCCAGGTTCCTATGCATTTCTGGGCACTGTTTTACCCAAAGAGAGCTGTTGACCAAGCCCGAGAGTTGGTTGGTATGTTGGAGAAGATAGCTGGCCCCATTGGTATGCAAATGAGCCCACCTGCCTGGATTGAACTGAAGGATGACCGGATAGAGACCTACATTAGAACCATTAAATCCATGCTGAGAGTTGAGGTAAATAAGTTGGAGTTATAACTCTTTTAAAATTGTATTCATAATAGTCACGTATTCTAAAGTCACTTGCTTTTATTGGCCTTCAGTTAGTAATGCATGAGAGTTTTCTTGCTCATGTCTACTTGAAATATTATATACGTGCAAATATAGTTGGTCTTTTTGGCTTTTAGCTGTTGTCATCTTTCTTATTCCCTAACACTACTGCAGTCTTTCTTCCTTATGGACCTTAGCTTCAGGTGTTATAATTTAGTGTCCAAGAGAGAGCACCTGATATGGCTTCTGTTTATTATCTGAGAGATCAGCTGCGCTAAGAATTGTGGTGAGTGAAAGATGAAATGATGGAGGAAACAAAGGTTTGCTTTTCTGAGCATGTCGATTTACTAAGCAATGTATGCCAATCACCTAACAGGTCAGGACCTTCTTCAGGTTACGGCTGGACCTTCAATACCAGGAAAAACAGACTTTTATACATTGAAAACAGTCAAATAAGGCTAATTAATTAGAAAGAAACAGTAAAACATTCAGTAATTTGATTTCTAATGGGATGAAAGATTAGGGACTTTGCATATTGGGAGGGGGAGAGCAAACCCACGATTTCCTGAATTCAGAAAAAGAGGTCCCCCAAGTGTCTGTAAAAAAAGAAACATGGAAACATAACTGATTGATCAGTTCAGGGCCAGTTTTCAGATAAGACATATGGGTTTCTTGAGATACACAATTGTGAGAAAACTCGGGCATCAGTCTTTGGGTGTGACTGGGTTTCTTTTCAGCACGGTGTAGGTCCTTGGTTAAGGGTCTCTAAACAGTAGGCAGAGGTGGTGCAGCTTCCTAGCCATGCAGGGCTAGGTTCAAATAATATAGTAAGGTTTTCTTCTAGTTTCCACAATTGAATAAACTTTTCTCACAGGACAGAATTTGGACTAGACCCATAATTGAATGGAAAGGGAACTGAGCAAGCTCCAGAATTGAGTCACAAGATGGACTCAGTCTGGTTCACTCAATTCCCACAGTTAACCACTTGCTGTCCTAATCCCCTCAGTTCCCACAGAACAGAGCTGTTGGTCCCAGGAATCATTTTGTGATGTTCATTGCTTAGCTGTTACAGCCTGCCCCTGGGTCAGGATTCATATTGTGCCAGTCTAGACTCGTCCATCAGACAAGTACCCTGATTAGCTAGCAGTAAATAACTTTTGTAGTCGAGCAGGTCATGGCACACACAACTTCTTTGACTGGTTAAATAGTCAGTGAACTAGCTCTAGGGAAAGGAGAGAAAGGAGCAAGTTTTGAGAAGTGGATTTAAGTCTGATGGAGGGTAGTGATAAAAGTTGATTACCTTGATGCAAAGAGAGATCAGGTGATAGACTCACAATACAGATTGACATCTTTTTTTTTTTTTTGGACATAGCCAGTGCAGGAATTTGTTTTGGTCTACTATATATGTTTATAATAGGGGTTTTCTTTTTTTTTTTTCCCAGTGGGATTAGGTAGAAGGTGAGAGGAAAAGAAGGCAGATCTTCAAGAAGATAAAATAAAATTTAATTTACAGAAGAATGGCAGAGAATAGTACACTTGGGGTGGTGTGTAGAGTACACAGGGACAACATAGGATGAGGCTGGGGATTTAGAGTGGCAGTAGATTGAGAGGCCTTGAGTGGTAGGCAAAGGAGTTGGAACTTTACTTGGGAAGCTATAGGGATTTGCAAAAACTTTTGAACAGAGGAGTGTCCTAAAGAGATTTGTGCTTCAGGAAGATTGCTTTGGAAACAGGAAGGATGGATTGCAATGAGAGAAGACAGTAGAGCCAGAAAAACTTGCTAAGAAGCTGTTGTGCAATAATGGAGATGAGTAACAGGGAGAACCTCTACTGAGGCAAGCAGATGAGTGGTGAGGCAGTTCACAGAATTAGACAGGGATTGGCATCTGGCTATTCACGAGAAATGGGTAAGAAACTGCTGATTTGGGATAGGTTGGATTCAAGTGGGTGCCTTGTAGGCAGTGCGTGATTGGTGCCCAGAGCTGAAGACAAAGGTCACTACTTGACCTACAAATGAGAAAGAAGATAAGGAGGAAGAGGAGATGGGCAAGGGCAAACCTGCGTTCAGGGTGGAAAGATTATGGGAGACGTGATCGGTCTGGATGGTCTTTGACCCATGAGGCACCCTATGCAGAGAAGGAAGAACATGGAGTTAGGAGGCCAGGTTTAAGTTCTGCCCTGAACTAGCTCTGTGACAGTCTATGAGTCTGAATGGGGTGATGGAGACCTGGTTACAGGTACATGAAGAGACAGGAAGGAGGCATCAAGGATAAGAATTGTTTCAAGAAATTTAGCAGTGAAGGGGAAGGAGGAGATGAATGGTAGGCGTGCAAAGGGAAGGGTTTTTTTAGGATTAGGAAAACCTGAGAATCATGGTAAAGAGATGAGGAGCTAGTGAAGAGGGGAAGACTGAAGATGTATGCAAGAGACAGAATGTTGCTAGAATTAGGCTTTAGAGGGAAAGGAATCAGGGATATTGTTAGAATAATTAGCCTTAATGCAAAATAGCACCATTATCTATTCTGTGAGGTGAGAAGAGAATGGACTAAAGATACTAAGATGGTTTGATGAATGGAGGAAAGCTGAGGGAAACCCACATCACATGACCTCAGTCTTCTTAGTGAGATAGATTATAAAGGGAATAGTTTCTTACACTGTAACAAATTTCTAAGTGCCTACTCTGTGAAGAGTATTGTGCTAAGCCCTGAGAATATTGTTAGGGTATTCTTGACAGTATCAGAATTTACTCTGGGGTGTGGTACTCCTGGTTTCTCATCTATAGTATCCATTTAATTTTTTCTCTTTGAAGAGAGAACATTAAGTAACACCCATGCTAGCTGGAGAACAACTTTACCTAGCACAAGCTTTATTTAACTTACTTCACATTGGCCCTGTTGGTCTTTCTACCATTCCTTAGGGCAAGCAGATTCTAATTCTGCTGTATTTTCTGTCTGCATAACTAGAGAAGTATTCTGATATAGCATGGGGACATTTGTTCCCTGAGAAATAACTTCCTTCCCTCACTTCTATTAGTAGTAGTTATTTGTTAAGGAATCATTTTTTTTTGTAGGTGCAGATACCTTACTCTATAGTTTTAAGCGTTAAGATGTCGGGGATTCTGATAGGAAAAAAAAAACTATATTCCCTTTCTTAACAAAATTAAGAGTGAGGGTACTTATGGAGTTTCTCTTGAAATCTGGAATTTGGAAAGAGGCATTTACATATTTTAGAAATGGCTATTGAAGTCAATCTGGGGAGTGAATATTCCACTGGTGAATGGAGCTGAGACAGATGTATGTACCTATTTGAATTAAGTCTTCCTGAGAATCTCTACTAGCTATTTTCCTAGCCCTTCTTCACCCCCTCTTCCTGTAATGGGGCCCTTAGGATTATGTTCATAAGAGGCCATTTGTGGGTTCTAGATCAGAGGTTGAACGGTCCCAAGTAAGAATGGTTTTTATATTTTTAAATAAAGTTTTGTTGTATTTTAAAATGTAAAAACCATTCTTAGCTTACAGGCATATAAACACACACTGCTCCAGATTTCTGACCCTTACTTGAGGAAAGTGGTAGAAGATATTTCATATTACTCTTTGGTTTGATCCTTAAAGACCCAAAGTGACCATTCAGACATTTCAAGTGTAGATGGATGAATTTCCAGACCAGCACTCCCTCAAAGATCTGCTCCCAGTATCATCAGCTCCAGAAAATTTATCCTTGTAAATTCTGAGAGACTAAGGCAGTTCTGCTAAGATTGCCATTTTAATTCTTGACAGCTGTTGCTGAGATCTGAGTGCCTTCAGCACCACTCTGTCACTTACTACAGCTATTACAATGGCCTTCTAAGTAGGGTCTTAAAAATGTTTCTTGGCCAGTCTGGATTTCCATCAACACCTGCCTGAAGAGACAAAAAACAAACAAACAAAAAAAGACTTCATCTTCTCATCCTGGAGGATCTCTGGGATGATCCAGTGAACCTGAGATACTCAATTTATTGCTCACTGTTAAGGGCTCTTTTGTGTTAAAGAGCAGTAAATGCCCCAAATAAAGGTCCCAGGAAAGGCCCTGGTCTTCAGTACAGAATTCTGACATGTCTGTTTTGTCTTCCAAAGGGGAAAGTTCAGATGGTGGTTTGCATCGTCACAGGCACACGAGACGATCTGTATGGGGCCATCAAGAAGCTGTGCTGTGTGCAGTCTCCAGTGCCCTCACAAGTGAGCTGGGGTTAGCGTGGGAGAATCAAGAAGCTCAGGCCTCAGGTTTCTTGGGGATGTTGAGGAGATGGAGAAAAAAATATTTTGTAGGGTACAGTCAGAACTCAGATTGTATACTGGTCCCCGTTATTGTTCCTCTGATTAGAGGGGTCTAGATGAGCGGCATATATTCCTTCATGAATGCTCAGTTTTGCCCAAATTTAGTTAGTAATTTTGCCTCTTGAGAAGATAAACCTCTGATTGGTTTTACAAGGCTGATTCTTGAGAATGTGGACTTTGCTTTGAAAAAGAGAAGTGGTTTTTCTCCATCAGCTTTGCTCAGAACTATTTTCTCATTTTGCATGAGATCCTTTTGAAAGTTTATTTCCAGATAGAGCACCAGCCCTGAAGTCAGGAGGACCTGAGTTCAAATCCAGCCTCAGACCAAACACTTGACACTTACTAGCTGTGTGACCCTGGGCAAGTCACTTAACCACAATTGCCTAAAAAGAAAGAAAGAAAGAAAGAAAATTTCATTTGAAAACCCAGACTTGAGGTTGTTGATAAGATAATAGCATCTACCAACTATAGTATCTTGAATAAAAGTAGTAATCATTATTTTGTATTGATTTCTGATTGGATTAGTATAAAATGATGTTCTGGGTTTGTTTTTTTTATTTCTTTTGGTCTTAGGTAATCAATGCCCGAACTGTTGCACAGCCCACCAAGCTATGGAGTGTAGCCCAAAAAATTTTGCTACAGATTAATTGTAAATTAGGTGGAGAACTTTGGGGAGTGGACGTTCCATTGGTGAGTGGAACTTAGATACCCAGTTCCTGGATAAACATGAGATACTTGTACCCATTCATGTTAGTCTCCTTAAGGGTCCAAAATAGTTGTTTTAATAGTCCTAAGGTATCTTCTTAGCTTTCTTACTTCTACTTTTTGTTATTAGCATTGACCATTTACCTGAGTGACCTATTTCTTTATATAGGAAGTGTAAAAGGTAGGTAATAATTTATCCCATTCTTGCTTTAAAAATAACTCTTTAGTATATAAAAGATGCAAGGTGGGATGCTTTGGGGATCAGATATTAAATGAAGTGAAGAAGTGATAGGCTGTGCTTTTTCTCTCCCAGAAACAACTGATGGTGATTGGGATGGATGTTTACCATGACCCCAGAAGGGGGATGCGTTCTGTGGTTGGCTTTGTTGCAAGCATCAGTCTGTAAGTGCTCCTTATCGTTATTTCCTCTAACGCTTCACCTTATTTTGGTCATGTGTTATATGGGCAGCTATTATATGGACACAGTGATATGCCTTGTACTCTGTTTATTTGAGGAGCTAAGATCAACACATAGGAAAAAATTATTATGAGAACATATAAGACATTATATAATTAATGGGTGAGTCCTGTAACTCAGAAATGGGTGAGATCTCTCTGGACGGTAATACTCAGTAACAGAAGTAGTCATCTGTGAATTGGGCCCTGCAGAATAAGTAAGGACATCTCAGGCTAGAGCAGTAATCTGAAGCAGAGATGAAGATGTGGAAATCAGCAAGATACATTCCAGAAACAGTGAAGAGGCAGCACGATGTGGTAAGAGTAGCTTTGGAGTAGAGTCTAAGAACTTGAGTTTGAATCTAAGTGTCACCTCCGTGGCCTTGGGCAATCATTCACCCATTCCGGATCTCTGTGTAAAGTGAGAGGGGGGACTAGTGGATACCAAAATTCCCTTCTGTCTCCAAACCTATGGCCCCGTGAGGTGTTCGTAACTGGAGTGGACAGTGTGTGTTGTGGGAGAGTGGGTGAAAATTAGGTGAGTAGAGTGAAGGCAGATTTTGTGGAACCCTGGAAGCCGGTCAGGGGAGTTTAAAGTGGAGGTGGTAAACAGTACGTTACAATGTTAGGCTTTGAAATAGAGGAAGAGAATTATATTCTGGGAGCAATATTGAGGGAAGCCCAACTGTGGTATAGAAATAGGGAAATTAGATTAACTAGGGAGAGATTAGTCAGAAGGACCTATAAGGGTTCATCTTTTACAGCATGTAGGGGGCTATTGTAAAAATCAGTTATTGAAGGGGCAGCTAGGTGGCGCAGTGGATAGAGCACCGTCCCTGGATTCAGGAGGACCTGAGTTCAAATGCGGCCTCAGACACATAACACTTACTAGCTGTGTGACCCTGGACAAGTCACTTAACCCCATTGCCTAGCCTAAAACAAACCAAACAAAAAAATCAGCTATTGAAGTAGTGTGAGTCTGGACTAGGGTATTGCCAATGGGAATGGAGAAGAGACAGATGCAAAAGAAATCTTGAAGGAAGAACTCATGAAATTTAATAACAGTCTCAACGATCTCAATATAAGATAAGAAATATTAATTCAACAAATATTTTCTATAAGCCTGAAGTTTTGATGTTTCTGAGAATCACAGTATCCCTGAGTTAGGGACATCAGAGACCATTTAGTGGCCAACCCATGCCTGGCCAGTGAAACCCTCTACAAATACTTCTAATAAGTGGTCATCCAGTTGAATGTTTATATTGTCATTAACATTAGCTATTGTCCTAAGGGCTCTGTTTCTTTGTATAGGAAATAAAAGTCAGGTGGGTAATAATCTTCATTGAAGTTGTTGAGAGACAGGAACAAACACACCACCTACCAAGTGCATTCTACTTTGGGACAATTCCAGCTACTAGGAATTTTTTCTCTACATTAAACCTAAATTTTTCTTATGCATCTTTCCACTCAAGTGTTCCTAGTTCTGCTTTCTGGACCCATGGAAAACAAGTCATTCATCTTTTCCATGAAAACCTTTCAAATTCTTGAAGATGTATCATTCTCCCATAAATCTTCTCTAAGTTAAATATTCTTAGCTTCTTAAGCTGGGGCATGATCTCCACTCTACTTATCATCCTAGTCACCCTCTTTAAGACATAACCTACCTTGTCAATGTCCTTCCTAAAATGTTACCTCCAGATCCAAGCATAATCCAGAGGTGTTCTACCCAGGGCAAAAAAAGCAGGGCAATTAACTTTTTTTTTTTTGCAGTGGGGGTTAAGTGACTTGCCCAGGGTCACACAGCTAGTAAGGATCAAGTGTTTGGTCTAAGAATGGATTTGAACTCAGTTTTCCGGTGCTCTATCTACTGCGCCACTTAGCTGCCCCTGACAATTAACTCTTTTTTTTTTTTGTTTTTTTGGTTTTTGGTTTTAGGCAGTTGGGATTAAGTGACTTGTCTAGGGTCACACAGCTAGTAAGTGTCAAATGTTTGGAGGCCGGATTTGAACCCAGGTCCTCCTGACTTCAGGGCCGGTGCTCTATCCACTGGGCCACCTAGCTGCCCCGACAATTAACTCTTAATCCCAGAATACCTTCTTTATTAATGCAACCTAGGAAAGCATTTTTTTTATTGTCATTTCACACTATTGATTCATACTGTTCTTTCAGGCCGCTAAAGCCCTGAGACCTTTTTCACATGAACTGCCAAGCCTTCTCTATCTTGTACTAGAGAAGGTGATATGTAACCTAAATGTAGAACTTTACATTTTATTTTATTAGATTCAGTCTAAGTGGCTGCTAAGTAGTGAAGTGGATAAAGTGCTGAATTTGGAGTCTTGCCTAAGACACTCATTGAGCAGCAGCTCTGACCCTGGGAAGTTCTTTTACTTCTTTCCACCTGTTTCCTAAATTGCAAAATGGGGATAATGCTATTGTCTACCAGACCAAGGTTATTGTGAGGATCAAATGAGATAACATATGTGAAGCATTTTGTAAACTTTCATATGCTCTATACATGTAAGCTATTATTATTAAGATCATCTATCCTGGTGAGGCCATTTCATCCAATGCAATGAGTTCTTCCTCCCAGCCTCATGAGGGTTTGAGATAATGAATGTAAAGTACTTTATAGATTTAGCTGTTCTTTTCCACTTCTTGTTAATTGTTTTTGTCCTGTAGAGAGAGTACTGTTGCCAACTGGCAGATGAGGGATCTGGACAGGAAGTCAGTTTGGTTTTTTTTTAATTTTTTTTATTAATTTATTTTGATTTATCAACAGTCACTTCCATAATCTTTTGAGTTTTAAATTTTTCTTCACCTCCCTCTCCAACTCCCTCCCAAGATGGTGCACAATCTGATATAGGCTTTACATATACATTCCTATTAAACATTTTCACATTGGTCATGTTGTAAGGAAGAATTAGAACCAATAGGAGGAACCACCAGAAAGAAGAAACAAACAAAACAAAACAGAAGGAAAAAAAATAGCAAATAATGTGCTTCAATCTGCATTCAAACTCCATAGTTCTTTCTTTGGATGTGGATAGCATTTTCCATCATGAGACCTTTGGAGATATCTTAAATCCTTTCATTGCTGAGAAGCTCTAAGTCTATCAAAGTTAGTCATTGTACAATGTGACTGTTACTGCGTATAACGTTCTCTTGGTTCTGCTCACTTCACTCAGCATCAGTCCATACATGTCTTTCCAGGTTTTTCTGAAGTCTACCTACTCATCATTTCTTATAGCACAACAGTATTCCATTACATTCATATACCACAACTGGTTTAGCCATTCCCCAATTGATGGGCATCCCCTCAATTTCCAATTCTATGCCACCACAAAAAGGGCTGCTACAAATATTTTTGTACATGTGGGTCCTTTTCCCATTTGTATGATCTCTTTCTATTGCTAGGTCAAAGTACGCACATTTTTATAGCCCTTTGGGCATAGTTCCAAATTGCTCTTCAAAATGGTCGGATCATTTCACAACTCCACCAACAATGCAATAGTGTTGCATTTTTCCCACATCTTCTCCAGCATTTGTCATTTACTTGTTTTGTCATGTTGGCCAATCTGATAGGTGTGATGTGGTGGAAGTCAGTTTTCTAAAGAGGATAAAAAAAAAAAAGATAAATTGAATTTGAGGTAAAAGTATTACTTCCAAATGAAACTATAAGTAGTCAAAGATAGGGGCATTGAAACACTGATTAGAGAGTTGTGGAGGTATGTGACTTAATAAAATCTTGAAATTAAATGAGACCTTAAAGGTTATCTAATTTAACTTATGTCATTCAAAATCCCTCCCCCATCCCACTTAACATTCTTGGAAAGTAGTTATCCAGCTTTTGCTTTTAGATTTCTAGAAAGGGGAAAACTTATTACCTAGTGAATCAGCCTGTCCATTTTTGTACCACTCCAAATAAAATTCTTGTATTAAGCTAAAATTGTTCTTATAATTTCTTTCAAGTGCTTGATGGATCCATACAGGTTGAGTTAGTCTTTCTTCCAAATAGCATCACTTCAAATATTAGACACCAGTAATCTTGTTATGCCTAGGGGGTAACATGTTTTTTTTCTTTTTTTTTAAATTTTATTAATTTTTTTTGATTTATCAACAATCACTTCCATATGCTTTTGAGTTGAAAATTTTTCTCCCCCCTTCCTCCCCCCCACCCTCCCCAAAACGGCGCACAATCTGATATAGGCTTTACATTTACATACCCATTAAACATATTTTCACATTAGTGAAGTTGTAAGTAAAAATTAAAATCAATAGGAGGAACCATCAGAAAGAGGAAACAAAACTCAAGAGAAGGTAAAAATAAATGATAGCGATTCAATTTCCATAGATCTTTCTTTGGATATGGACAGCATTTTCTATCCCGAGGCCTCTGGAGATGTCTTAGATCCTTGTAATGCTGAGAAGGGTTCAGTTTAACAATATTAGTCATCGCATAACGTGGCTGTTATTGTGTACAAAGTCCTCTTGGTTCTGCTCACTTCACTCAGCATCAGACCATTTAAGTCTTTCCAGCTTTTTCTGAAGTCAGCCTGTTCATCATTTCTTATAGCACAATAGTATTCCATTACATTCATATACCACAACTGGTTCAGCCGTTCCCCAATTGATGAGCATCCTCTCAATTTCCAATTCTTTGCCAGCACAAAAAGAGCTGCTATGAATATTTGTGTACATGTGGTTCCTTTTCTAGAGGGTAACATGTTAATATCATCTAAGTTTTCTTTTATTCCTCCTTGTTTCCCTCATACAATAGGTACAGTCCTTGATCTAGGAGCTCTGAAATTTAGCTATGATATTCCTTAGGGTTTTCGTTTTGGGATCTCTTCCAGGAAGTGATCAGTAGATTCTTTCAGTTTCTATTTTGCCCTCTGGATCTAAGATATTGGTGCATTTTTCCTTTATAATTTCTTGAAATATGATGTTTATATTCTTTTTTTGATCATGGCTTTCACTAATTCTTAAATTAACCCTCCTTGATCTCTTTTCCAGGTCAGTTATTTTTCCAGTAAGGTATTTCACATTTTCTTCTCTGTTTTTCATTGTTTCATTTTTCATTTTTCATGGACAAGAAATGTCCATTTTTCCAGTTCTACTTTTTAAGGAGTCCTTCTCTTCAGTGAATTTTGTGCCTCTTTTACCATTTGGCTAATTCTGTGTTTTTTTCTTTTGTTTTGTTTTGTTTAGGCAATTGGGGTTAAGTGACTTGCCCAGGGTCACACAGCTAGTAAGTGTCAAGTGTTAGGTCTGAGTCCAGATTTGAATTCAGGTCCTCCTGACTTCAGGGCCAGTACTCTATCCACCGTGTCACCTAGCTGCCCCTAATTCTGTTTTTTAAGATGTTATTTTTTCAGTATTTTTTGTGCCTCTTTTACCAAGCCATTAGTTCTCTTTTTCGTAATTTTCTTGCATCACTCTCATTTCTTTCCCATTTTTACTCTACCACACTTATCGCTTCAGGAATTCATGTTGGACTTCCATACAATTTGCATTTTTCTTTGAGGCTTTGCTTGTAGCTGTTTTCACAGTGTTTTCTTCTGGGTTTGTGTCTTGACCTTCCCTGCCTCCATAGTAGCTTTTTATGGTCAGGTGTTTGTTTATTTGTTTGTTTGTTTCTTTGGGGGGTTTTTTGCTTATTTTTTAGCACTTTGAACTTTATGGGCTTTTTTTGTGATGCTGTTTTCAGAGTTAGTTCTGAAAGTCTTCAAGTGTTTGTTGCTTCCAAGATGGTATGCTCCAGAGAGAGGTTTGGTCACTGCTTTCCTGGTCTTCATTATGGTCTTTACAACCTGCTCCCCTGCAGCTACAAGTGCTAAGGCTCCTCCCTGCCCTGGAACTGCGACCAAGGCCACTGCTCCCTTGTGACTGACTACAAGTGGTCCTCTCTGTCCAGGAATTTTGGCCCAAAACTGAGGATGGCCAGTGGAGTTGCCAAAGAGCACCTGATCCTACACTGTGTCAGCTCAAGAGTCCCTTATGAAAAGGCTGTTTCTGACCAGTTGTCCAGTCCCCTTAACGTCTCAAAGCTAAGAGCTCTCAGAGCGGCTGCTGCCAAGAGGCGCCCCCTGAGCTAGGCCTCGCCCACTCCAGAGCTCGATTTAAAGGGTTGTCTTAAAGTTGTTAGGGAGGAGTTGTTGGGAGAGTTCAGCAGCACAGGAGGCTGTGCAGAGGGGCAAGACGAGATCCCAGGGCGCGAGAGCAAGTGCCCAGCTGTCAGTTTATTACTGACTCTTCGGTTCTTGGTCACAGCAGAAGGCAGGCTGGAGAAATGATCTGTACCCAAGAGCGGCATTCCTGAGTGGGCAGCAGCTGTGGGCCATGCACTACGCACTGAGCAAGGAGCAATAGGAGCAATGTGGCACTGACCCTTGGAGTGGAGCAGGGTCTCAGCTCTGACTTTTATCTCTGTCTGAAACCTGTAGAGGGATATTGAGAGCAGGGATCTAGACCGAAGGGAAGCTGTGGAAGGAGCTTGAGTTGAGTTTTGAAGGAAATGATTGCTTCTGAAAGGCAGGTAAGGACAGAGCATATTCTAGGCAGGGGAATCCCAGTGAAATTGATGGGGAGGGATGAAATGGAATCTAGGTAGTGTGGGGGAACATCAGGAAGGCATAAGTGGGCTGGAAAGGTAAGGGGGGACGAGGCTGTCAAGGGCTTTGAAGGCCAGAGAAGTTTCTATTTTACCATGAAAGTAATAGGCAGCATTGTAGCCTCATTACCTAGCACTGCATGTAGTAGGAGACTGATAAATTTTAGCTAAATTAAGGTGAGTTTCTCAAATTTACGGTGAAATCTTTGGGAATGAGAAACAAGAATTTTTTTTTGTCTCCCCCATAAAGCCTGGTACATAATAAATGTTGATTGGTTAATTACCAAACCTGCCTTTTAGTATCTGAGATTCAAACTTCTATTGATGTATTTTCTCTTCTCTGTCTTTCCTTTACCAGCTCCCTCACCAGATGGTATTCCCGAGTGGTGTTCCAGATGCCTCATCAGGAGATTGTGGACAGACTGAAACTGTGCCTGGAGGATTCCTTAAAGAAGTACTATGAGGTGAGGAAAGCCAGACTTTTGTAATTTCAGAATCTCTTCCTATTTGACCTCTGTAAATTGACAGGAAACATGATTTAGTAGAAGTAAACCCAAATCATATTTATTGGACTTATTAAGCAGGTTCAGAGTCCAACAGTCCTAAGTTCAACAGTTGAACAAGAAAGTTTCAACCTGTGATAGTGTGTATCAAACCGAGGGGAATAAGGTTGCAGTTTGGCATTATTGCTTTCCATGTTTTCGACCTTATGCCCCTATACCACTGCTGTTACCAGAGATTTAGTTTAAATAATTAGTATGGCATACAAATTTACCTGATTCTTATGAGTAGGTCATTGCCAGCTGAATCCTCTCATCTTTTCATAAGACAAATATAAAATTAGTCCTCCACCCCAATTCAGATATCCAAAGTATGCTGAGCCATGAGAATCGGCACGTAATTTCCATTAAGCTGATACTGGGCTGGAGAAGTGGGCAGAGAATGTTCTCAGCCCGTCATAGAGGTATTCAAAGTAAGCCTTGATCTATGTGGCTTGGGCTTCTTAAGGATGGATTTAGCCCTTGTGAAAAGTAAGCTATCAAAATTGTTGTTTAAGACTAAATCTGGTCCCTAGAATTGTTCCTTTCATGCATATAAAGAAGTTTTCTACTGCACCTCCCTGCAAACAAATTTTAATATCATTCTAAATAGCAGAAGTTAATGATCTGTAGTATGCTTTATTCTGTAAAGAGACCTATGAAGCACGCTATCATTTTAGAGCTGAAAAGGATTTCATTTTACAGATAAAGAAGGTAGTAGGGGCAGCTGGGTAGTGCAGTGAATAGAGCGCTGGCCCTGGAGTCAGGAGGAACTGAGTTCAAATCCGGCCTCAGACACATGATACTCACTTGCTGTGTGACCCTGGGCAAGTCACTTAACCCCGACTGCCTCGCAAGCGGGGGGAAAAAAAAAGGTGGTAAATGATTTGTTTCATGTCATACAGAGGCAGAGAGAGATAAACTAGAACCCAGGGCTCCTGAGTACAGGCCCCATTCTCTTTCTGTAACATCATGTGACCACAGTGTAGATGCAGGTACAAGTCTTCCTCTGTTTCTTGGCTTTGCTTCTTTCTTCTATTCTCAGAGTCACAGTCCAATTTCAGCTCCTAACCACCTCTTTAATTACTGCCTAGGACAGCAGCTGAATCCAACCATGTACTAAATTCAGAATGAACCTGTTATTTAGCTGAGTCTCAAAACAAGGCCAAACAGTAGTTTATCAGTTGTGGTTTTTCAGTGTGGAACCAAACCAAAACTTGGGGGAGAAAAATCCTACTTTGCCATCATGTCATATGGAAATTTAAAATATATTTCTAAAATTGTTGAACTAAAATAAACCTAGATTAAAAAATCTTTTCTGAATTCAGTGATTCCTTCCATTTGCCAAATCTACCTGCCTCCGACCTTTTGGCCTCCATTCTGTGTTATGCGTAGCTGGAAGGATCATTTTACTTAAATATATTTTGATATCTCCACTAAGTTTGACTCCATTGCCTCAGAATACAATTTATTTGTGGTCTGACCAAACTGGAAAGCCTTTGGTTATGAGTCTGGAATAGCCTATAGACCTGTTATCTGAGGGGAATCAGAGGACAGAGGCATCCCCTGAAGTTTGGCGACGGAGTGATGAATTTTTTATTCTGTACCACTCATGAAGATCATCCACTAAGGCAAAGAGGGGTTAGGATCTATGTTAGGGGGGAGGACCCATGCTGATCCTTAAAGTATTGAAGTATGTCTGTTTTTATCATGGGATTTAAAACTGAAGAGACTTTAAAATCTAATCACTAAGCCCAGCACCCCCATTTTACAGTTGAAGGAAACAGGCCCAGCAGGGTTGTGACTTGGCAGTCATCACACAGGTCATAAACAACTAATTTAGAATTTGAACCCAGGTTCTCTCATTTCAAATCTAGTGTTCTTCCCACTTCTCTACTGCTGCTCATGTCACTGAATGGCTCCCAAATAAAATTAAAACTCCTAATGATACATAGGTTTTAAAGTTCACAATCTTCTAGTTAGTCATACTTCTGTAATCTTAAATGCTGAGTTTCTGGTAAAGGAGAGAGATGAGTGATCAGTCTGGCTGGAGCATTAAAGAAAGCAAGACTGTTCATCCTGGATTTTCCAGTGTATTCCTTGTTTTAAGAAAGGAAAAAAAAAGGGACATTCTTTATCACACATACCATGTGCCCTGGTTTTCTAATTTACAGAATATGATCATCATAGGCATGGGCAATGGGGCAATGAGGATTACTTCATTGGGGCTCACAGAATCAATATCTCATTATCTTATAGTTGTACCTTATATTTAAGTAGAGTAGCATTTAGTAATATATTAGTTGTACTTAAATTTGCTTTTTTCATATCTATATTTCCACCTTAGATTATAAATTCTTTGAGGTTAGGAATTATGTCCTGCATTTTCTTTGTAACTAAAGTTTCTACAAGGCAGAAATCACACATTGTGTCCAGTAAAGGCTGCTAACTAACAAATGAGATATCTTACTCAATGGTCTATTTCTTACCTTCACCAAAGAAAGTTATGACTTCTTTGTGCCTCTGTTTCCCTGTCTCTGGCATAAAGAGAATAACAAGATCATAGGCTCAAGACCAGAAGGGACTTTGAAATCATCTCAGCTAATTCTTATCTTACATATATACAAACTCTGAGAGCCAGAGAAGTCTGACTATTTGCCCACAGTTACACAGGTAGTAATTGACAGGGTCAGGATTTGAACCCAGTTCTTTGGATTTCAAAGCCAATGCCCTTTCCAATGTACCCCTGTCTCAGGATGTGCAAATAAATTATGTAATTGTAAATTAAGTATATTGAGTTTCTCAGGAAAATGATATTATAGATATATATAAAAGTATGAAATATGATCTAGGTAATTATATTGCAAAAGCGTTCATTGCAAGGTTCCTTTGATTTCAAGCATATATATACTTTCAATTTAGGTACAATGTGTGTGACGCATTATGCAGAATAAAGTTCAGAAATTGTCCAGTTTTATCTGTTTGGGCCAAATGTACCTTCAGATGATAGGGAAATAATGAACTTTGAATTCAGCATCACTGAATAAGAACCAAAAATATCTTTTCCAATAAATTGTGAGCTAAACTATTTAAAAAAAAAAGACACACATATACAACAAAAACCTAGCGAACTAGCTCATACAGGAAAAGAACTTTAAATATTTTACTATTAAATAAGAACCTCAAAACATTCAACAAAGTGGGTAGTTATTTTATTTCATTTCATTTTTTCCAAGTTATTCTCTGGTGTGTTGTATAGTTACAATTTTAAAGAATTAAACATCTGTATTCCAAAAGAGATAAAAAAACAAAACAGAAAAGGACCTATATTTACAAAAATATTTATAGCAGTTCTTTTCTGGGGGTAAAGAATTAGAAGTTGAGGGGATGTCCATTAATTGGGGAGTGACTGAACAAGTTGTGGTATATGATTATGATGGAATACTATTGTACTGTAAGAAATGATGGAGTAGGATGCTCTCAGAAAAACCTGAAAAGACTTGCATGAGCTGATGGAAAGTGAAATGTGCCATGTACAAAGTAACAGCAATATTGTAAGACGATCAGCCATGAATAACTTAGCTATTCTCAGCAATACAATGATCCAAGACAGCTCTGAAGGACTTATGATGAAAAATGCTATCTATCCCGAAAAAGAACTGTTGGTGTCTGAATACAGATTGAAACATACTTTTTTTTTCTTGTCTGTGTTTTCTTTCACAATATGACTTATGAATATGTTTTGCATGACTACACATGTATGACCTCTATGGAATTGCTTACCTTCTCAATATGGGGGGGAGAGGAAGGGAGAGAATTTGGAACTCAGAAGTTAAAAATAAATGTTAATTGTTTTTACATGTAACTGAGGAAAAATAAAATACTAAATAAAAGCTAAAAAAAAAAAGAAATTAAACCTCCATAATATTTCAGGGTGACTAGTACAAGAATGTTTTATTTAGCTATATTTCATCACCTTTTGAGTCTCTGTCTTTGGGTATGCTTGCCACTTAGTAATCTGAGGGAAAGATAGGTTAAGGAAGCCAAACCCATCATAAACTGTTCTTTACTAGTGGTAGTTTACTTGGTATATCTATGCCAAAGAAGAGTTTTGTTTTATTCTATATGTGGATTAGGAATTTACTAGCTGCATGACCATAGGCAGGTCCTTAACCTCTGTTTGCCTCAGTTTCCTCATCTGTAAAATGGGGACAATAACAGTATCTACCTCCCAGGGTTGTTGTGAGGAACAAATGAAATGATACTTGCAAAGTTCTTGGCACAGTACCTGGCACACAACAGGCGTTATATAAATGTTAGCTAATATTATGATGATGATGATGATGATGAAGGCTTAATATAAATTCCAAGTTGACAGGCAGATGAATTGGGACCATCATTTTTCTGAACAGTCTTTCAACTTTTCCTACACATTTAAATCAGGAACCTCTCAGCTCTAAATCTGTAATCCTATAATCTGCTTGACTCAAGTTTGCTTATCTTTCTTTATGTACTGTTTGACGGCTCCTTTTGATATTCCTGACCTCTCATTATCCTGTGGAAATCTAGAAATGAACACGAACTTTTTTCAGCAAAACTAACTCTGTTTGGACCTGTCTGTCAAATATATCTGATGTCATATGCCCAAGAAATGCAAGTTTGAATCTTTCTCGCCAGTGAGTACTGTGTCTGGTGAGTTCCCTTTTCTCAGAGATAATAGAGAATTTGTATTATTTGGTGTTTCACTTCAGGTAAACCACTGCCTGCCAGAGAAAATTGTGGTGTACAGAGATGGAGTATCAGATGGTCAGCTGAAGACGGTCACCAGCTATGAGATCCCTCAGTTACAGAAGTGCTTTGAAGCTTTTGAAAACTACCAACCCAAGATGGTGGTGTTTGTGGTCCAGAAAAAAATTAGCACTAACCTGTACTCGGCTGCTACAGATAATTTTGTGACTCCCTCTCCAGGTACTGTAGTGGACCACACCATCACAAGCAGAGAGTGGTGAGTAAGCTGCCTTTCAGCTCATCTTTGGGGAAATATGGGAGATCAGCTTTTGGAGGACTCTTCTAGATTCAGGATGGAAGGGTTGTTCTTAGAGACTATGTGTATAGAAAACACTTTTTTTTTCTTCTTCTGCCTCCTGCCTATGGTGCTTGAGGGAATAAACTGGTGGGGGTAAAGAGGTTCTCCTAAGCTAACAAAACATCAGGCACAGACCTCCCTCTGTAATGGAGATGGAGATGATGCAAATGTCTACCAGCTCTCCAGGAAATAACACTGGACTAGGTTTCTCTTTTTTTCTTATCTGTAAAATGGGGTGGTTGAGCTAGATTTCCAAAATCCCTTCTAGCTCCAAAGATAAAAAATAGAGCCATCTGGGGCAGCAAGATGGTGCAGTGGATAGAATTCTGGCCTTGGAGTCAGGAGGACCTTAGTTCAAATCCAGCCTCAGACACTCGGCACTTACTACCTATGTGACCCTGGGCAAGTCACTTAACCCTGATTGCCTCACCAAAAAAAAAAAAAGAGCTATCCAAAAGTCTTCAGGGACTGCCTGAAGATGTAGTGAGTTCTTCATTTTTTAGAAGTCTTCAAGCTTCTAAGGAGATATTGTATGGAGAGTATTCCTGCTTGGGTATTGAATAAAATGCTTCCAGCTCTTGAGATTTTGTGATTCTGTAATACAATCCGTGTCACAAGTTTGATCGTTTTTCTTGCCAGGGTGGATTTCTACCTACTTGCCCATCACGTGCGGCAGGGCTGTGGCATTCCTACACATTATGTATGCGTTCTCAACACTGCAAATTTGAGCCCTGACCACATGCAGAGGTGAGCCCTTTCTTCCTGTAGGGCAGTAGTTCTCAAAATATGGGCTTGAGAACTGGAGACTTTCCTTGGAGTCCAGGAGGTCAAAACTATTATCATAATAATACTAAGACATTTTAATTTCCAGTACTGTAAATATTGGCAAATGTAATACGTATAACAAAAGATGATTGGGGGTTCTCATTAATTTTTAAGAGTGTAAAAGGGTCCTGGGACCCCAAAGTTTGAGAATTGTAGCTTTAGAAGGTAAGTCTGGAGCCAGCTAATTAAGATAGAGCCAACCACAGGAACAATTGCCAGTTGAGTTCCTTGAAATCTTTGACTAGTATTTTCAGGGGGTAAAAATATAGTTTGAATTTGGACAGTACAAAAATACTTAATTTTCTCAGCATAGTTGTAGTCTCTTTTTTTTTTTTGAAAACATTAAATTTGGCTGACTGGAAGAATTTACTCGTTTTTGGTAGAAAGTTTCCTTGATTTGGTGAACGGGAGAGCCAAGCTACAGGTAAATTAATTTGTCCAAGGCATTTGATTAAGTTAATGGTAATATCAGAAACATCTTCCCTGTTGGGAAATAATTAGGAAGGCTTCCAAGAACTTTTCAGCACATTTGAGGTTTTAGTTTGCTAAGAATAACTCAGGGAATGTGATGGTGTATGATAATTGGCGTTCCCAAGTGGACAGATGGATATTTTTAAGCACAAAGTAGTCCTGAGTGCATTGTTCTGTTCTTGGCCTTCAGGTTAACATTCAAGCTTTGCCACATGTACTGGAATTGGCCTGGCACCATCAGAGTCCCAGCTCCCTGCAAGTATGCCCACAAGCTAGCTTTCCTGTCTGGACAAGTCTTACATCATGAACCAGCCATCCAGTTGTGTGAGAAACTCTTCTTCCTGTAACCCAAAGTGTCAGCAAGCAAGTTGAGAAAAGGGAAAAATGAGTTTTCTGGATTTGTGTAGAAACCCGAGCTATGACTTCTCCAGTATCAACAGAGACAAAAAGTGGCATTTTTGAGTTGCTGTTTTCCCCTTCCTCAGCCCAGTAATATTTACTTCATTTTATTTTTTCAACTGCTACTACCAAGAAAACTGTAAGTCATTTCAGCCCTGTGTGACTTGAAAATTACCATTCCCCATTTGGGAAGGAGATAGAACATTGCCACTTTTGGAGGTCTAGGAAAAGTTTAAAAAAAAAACCAAACCAACTCGTAAGCCTCCAAGCCAGATAGAACTGTAAAAATCTATAATATCTCTGTTTTCCAAACCCCATCATCCTTTCTGGTGCCATAGGTGAGAAAATATGTGGTCTTTGCAAGTTCCTTAAGGAGACATCTGGACAACTGGGAAAGGCTAAACAGCTGTTTCTTTAAAACAGGCATTGCTCCTGCTGGCCTGGTGCTTAGCCTTTCCGTGGAATTGGGCTCAATTCAGCAAGCATTTCTCAATGACACTTCTGACATAAAAGCCTATTGTATTTTTTAATAAATTTTTATTAATATCTTTGTTTTACATCACCTAAATTTCCCACCGTTTAATCTTGTCCTTCCCTCCCACAGAGAGCCAGCCCTATAATAAATGATAAAACAGAAGGGGAACAAAGCAGTTTAGCAAAGCTAACCAAATAACCTTGAAAAAACTCTGATCTTCACCTCTAGTCCTCCACCTCTAAAAAGAATTGAGGGAGGTATGTTAAAACACTATTGTCAACCTTCACTTTAGATGTCTCTGGCACTCCAGATATTTCAAATGGACCCTTTCTGTGTTTTGTGTGCTTTCTAGCTCTCTTGGTTGGGCTTAGCAGCAGAGTTGCCAGCCTAGGGATTTAAATCCTTCTATTTTGAATTTTGCCTTCCAGCCCCAAATACTTCTGCCTTGTTTTGGTTATTAATATGTTAAATCCATTTCTTAAAGAAGAGATTCTTGAACTTAGAAAGGAGACATTTGGCATATGGGATACCTTTTTTAGGGATGTTCAAGTATAATACAATTTTCCCACAAGTCTGGTTAATTAAGTCTGTTATTTATATGTGGAAGGGAAATATTTAATTGCCTTGAACAGTGACCTCTTGTTGGCCATTCAGTTTCCTAGAAAGTTTTCTAAAGCTGGGACAAATTTTTTTAGCAACTCAGCTTTTAAAAATGTAGTACACACATGAAAGTCCAGATATCAAAATTTCCATACATAAAGAAGGCTGATATTTCTTCCCTCTTTAGAATTAGGAGCATGCCAATCTGTTTGCATGTACTCCTCTTTGTTTTGGAAGGGCCAATTTGGTCTCCCATTTAACCTTTCAGTCTCTCACCTATACTGTATTTTTTTTTCTGTTTAAAAGAGTTGATTTTATTTAATTCCTTCCTCTTTTCTTCTTGTCCTTTCTGTAAGGAAGGAAGGAGACATATATTTTATTTGTGAACTGTGAGAAAAAGAAACTTTAGCCAAAAACCCTTTAGAAAAACAAAATTAGGAAGTTGTTTTGGTTTACAGTAGAGTTCACAGGAGGTTGGTGAGATGGAAGCTCTTGGGTACATTTCTGTCTTTATTGAGATGTTGGGGGTGGGAGAAGAAAAGAAGCTAAGAATTTGGAATTTTAAGAACATTGAACTAAATGTGTTGAATCACTGGTCTATAACTTGACAGACAGCTTTCTGATCTGATTCTCTCTGCAACCATTTTGAATGTTTCTTTTGAGGTTGTATTTCTTAAGATCTTGTCTATCTGATATAGTCGGAAAAGTTAAAAACAATACCTGAGTGCAATGAAAATCTGCCTTCATTTTTTGTTTCCAGTTTCTAGCCTCATTTTTCAGTCTTGACATTGAGTAATTAGAAGTAGAAGGCAAAAAAATTGTATAATTTATTATTTAAGATTGATGAAACACGTAAATACTTTCCTAGTAGATGGTAGATTCATTAGCATTATTCCAGAATGTCAAGTAGCTCCTGGCTAAGGAGCCTGTGCTAGCATATGGTAGCGATTGTAAACCACTGGAGTTTTGTTTTGATTTTTACAACCGATGCTTCACCTTCTGGTGTTGGGACTGTGTTTTATCACAGTGCCAGATGAAACTGAGGCACTAGTTGTTTACTTATCAAGAACAATGTCACCTGCAAAACAAAACGACAAATAAGTTGATAAATAAACCCCTCTTATTATGGGTGCTTTGTCCTGATCACCAGCTGCATCATCAAGACTCTTTACTAGAGTACGTAAATAAAGCTTTTTTTCTCTACCTTAGTTACATCGCTACATAATACAGCCCTAGAGTCTTTCTCAGTGCTTCTGACCACATCATTATTTATAAGCCTGCAAGAGCAATATGAAATATTGATGCCATGGGCTCCCTGCCACTGTAGATCCCACGTTGTGTTGTGCCTCCACTGGACATTTTGATGTCATTTAGATCTTCCTCCTCAGCTTGTTCACCTTTTCAGATTATAAGAGTCTCTCCTCATCCTGCTCTTGGTTTGAGTGTGGGGGCCATGGCCAGCAGAGAAACTGCCCTGCATAGTCAAACTATTCACAAGCCATGATGAGTGAATGTTACTTCTCTTCTAATGTGTTTTTTATACTTCAGTCCCTCCCTTCAGTTCAGTAAGTTTAATTGAACACAACAAGGGTCTATCTATGTACTGATGAGCAAAAGACAAAGTCCAAGGGGAAGTCATTCTAGACTTTTTTCCTGATAGCCTCTGAATAAAGGGCCAGCCAGTTTCATTGTGCAGAATGTTTTATTTGAATAAGAGGCTAAATTTTATAATCCAATTATAAAAACTGAAGTAAAATTTTTGCATATATCTCTGAAAATACAGTATTTAACAGTTAAAATATAATTATGTTCATGCAGTAATGTGAGTATAATCCATGTGAAGTTGCTCCAGCTGACACCACTTTCTAACAGAATAATTAAAAATTATATAGCTGAACCCCCACTATGAAAACCCCCAGCTATGAAAAGCTGAAATAATGTAATTCATCTAATCATCTATTTATGATTTGGTTCAGTATGTATTTATTACGGCATGCAGGGGTATATGCTGAGTCTGCTAGTCTATCCTCTCTGGGCTACTAAATAGTTGGGGAGAAGAGTTATGATATATATAAATAATTAGCATATGAGAGACACATGAAAAAGATGTATAGTACTATGTGAGGTCCTAGAGAAAAGGCAGTAATCAAGGAAGAACATCGTGGTGTAGCAGAAGGAATACTGCACTTGCAGGTGGGAGATACCTGGTTTTTAAATGCTACCTCAGACACTACCTTGAGTGACCTCACTTACTCTTTCAGAGACACATAGTACTTAGCTCACAAGGCTGTTGCGAAGAGCAAATGTAGTAATGCATGTAAAACACTGCAAGGTGTATAAGTATCAGCTGCTGTCATTCCTGGAAGAGGTAGCATTTCAGATGACCTTTAAAAGATAGTTGGAAATACAACAGTTGGGTGACAGGGAGCATTTTAAGTACAAGGAATAACCTAAGCAAAGGCAGAAAAATATCATGTATACCAAGAACAATGAGTAGTGTAAATTGGCTAGAACTTCATTTACGTATAAGTATGAGAGAAGGCTAGAAAAATAGGGTTGGTGAAATTAAAGCAATTATTAGGAGTTATTTTGGCCAATTGTATGCCAATAAGTTTAACGATTTAAGTGAAATGGAAGAATATTTACAAAAATATGGACTGCCCAGAGTAATAGAAGAGAAAATAGAATATCTAAATAAAAACCTATTTTAGAAAAAGAAGTTAAACAGGCCATAAATGAGCTTCCTAAAAAGAAATCATGACCAAATGGATTTACAAGTGAATTCTACCAAACATTTAAAGACCAACTAATTTCAATATTAAATAACTATTTGGAATAATAGGCAAAGAAAGAGTCCTACCAAACTCCTTTTATGAAACAAATATGGTGCTGATGCCTAAACCAGGAAGAGCAAAAACAGAGAAAGAAAACTATAGACTAATTTCACTAATGAATATGGATGCGAAAATGCTAAATAAAATACTAGCTAGGAAACTACAACAATATATCACAAAGATTATACATTATGACCAATGGGATTTATACCAGGAATGCAGGGCTGGTTCAATATAAGGAAACTGATTAACATACTTGATTATATCAATTAACAAAAGTAACCAAAATCATATGATTATATCAATAGATGCAGAAAAAACTGTTGACAAAATACAACACTTAATTAAAAACACTTGAAAGTATAGGTATAAATGGATTTTTTCCTTAAAATGATAATAAGCAAACTAGCTAAAACCATCAGCAAGCATAAGAATAAGCTAGAAGCCTTCCCAGTGACATCAGGAGTATAACAAGCATGCCCATTATAGCCAGTTTTATTCAATATGGTACTAGAAATGCTAACGATAGCAATAAGAGAAGAAAAAGAAATTGAAGGAATCAGAATGGGCAGTGAGGTAATAAAGTTACCTGTTTTTGCAAACAATAGGATAGTATATTGGAAAATCTTGTAGATTCAACTAAAAAGCTAATTAAAACAATAATTTTAGCAAAGCAATAGGATATTAAATAAACCTAAATAAACCATCAGTATTTCTACATATCACCAACAAAGCCCTGCAGAAAGAGATAGTAAGAGATACTTCATTTAAAATAACTGTAGACAGTATGAAATACCTGAGAGTATACCTGCCAAGACAAACTCAGGAACTTACATAAAGATACTTATAAGACATTTTTATGCAAATAAAGTCAGTTTAAATAATTTGAGAAATATTGTTCACAAGAGGTGGAATTGTTCACTAGCCAAGCCAATATAATGAAAATTCTACCTAAATTCATCTACTTATTCAGTGCCATCCCAATTAATTTACAAAAAAAAATTATTTTATTGATCTATAAAAAAATAATAAAATTCATTTAGAAGAACAAAAGGTCAAGATTATCAAAGGATTTAATGAAAAAAAATGCAAAGGAAGGAGGTCTAGCTGCACCAGATCTTAAATTGTATTTTAAGGCTATAATTATCAAAACCATCTAGTCCTGGCTAAGAAACAGGATGGTGGATCAGTGGAATAGACTAGATAAACAATACATAGTAGCAAATGACTATAGTAACCTTGTATTGGATAAATGTAAAGATTTAAGCTTTGGGGATAAGAATTTACTATTTGGTAAAAATTGTTGGGAAAACTAGAATGCAATCTGACAGAAACTAGGTACAGACCAATATCTTACAAGATAAGGTCAAAATGGATACATGACTTAGACATAAAGGGAGGTATCATAAGGTAAATTAGAAGAACATGGAACATATTACCTATAAGATTTATGGATAGGAGAAGAATTTATGTATAAACAAAAGACAGAGAACAATGAGAGAGGTAAAAAGGATAATTTTGATTACATTAAATCTAAAAGGTTTATATAAATAAAACCAGTGTAGCCAAGATTAGAAAGAAAGCAGAAAATTGGGGGAAACCTTTTTATAGGCAGTTTCTCAGATAAAGGCCTCATATCTTAACTGTATAGAGAACTTTGTCAAATATATGGAAAACTTTGTCAAATTTATAAGAATGTGAGTCATTCCCCAGTTGATAAATGGTCAAAGGATATGTACAGGCAATTTTTGGATGAAGAAACCAAAGCTAAATATATTCATATGAAAAAAATGCTCTAAATCATTGCTGATTAGAGAAATACAAATTAAAATGACTTTGAGATAATATCTCACACCTATCAGATTGGCTAAAAATGTTAGAGAGGATGTGGAAAAATTGGGGCACTTAATACACTGTTGGTGGAATTGTGAACTGATTTAACCATTTTGAAGAGCAATCTGGAATTAGACCCAAAGAGTTATAAAACTGTGACCTGTCAACCCAGCAATACCACTGTTTTCTGTTTTGTCTTGTTTCCCAAGGTGATCAGGGAAGAAGGAAAAGAACCTATATGTTATGAAATGTTTATAACACCTCTTGGAAATCGAGGGTATGACCATCAGTTGGGGAATGGCTGAACAAGTTGTGGTATATGAATGTAATGGAATACTACTGTGCTGTAAGAAATAATGAGCAGGGTGATTTTAGAAAAACATAGAAAGACCTGCATGAAATAATGAAAAGAATGTTTTATACAGTAACAGCAATGCTATTTGAAGAGTAACTGTAAATGACTTAAGCTATTCTGAGTTGTATGACTATTCAGATCAGCTACAAAGGACTTATGAAAGAAGATGCTATCTACTTTCTGAGAAAGAACTGCTATACTGAAGTATATATTGTATGGTTTCACGTATGTGTATGTGTCAAATGTTAGCCTTCTCATGTGGGGTTGGGAGGCAAAAAGGGAAACAGCTTGGAACCCAAAATGTAACAAAAAAATAAATGCTAAAAAGAAAAAGAGGATGGGTCTAAGTTGTGGAAAGCCTTAAATCTCAGGCAAAGAAGTTTGTCCTTATTTAATAAGCAATAAGGAGCCAATGAAGGGTCTTGAGAAGAGCAGGATGTGGCCAGCAGTGTTCCTGTGCAGCTGCTTCCTTGATCGTTTCACTTAACGTTCAGCCAGTTGAGGTAGGGTATGCTTGTTGAGGTCATTGTACCTTGATGTATCTAAAAAGGGGGTTAAGAGGTTAATAATTATGACCACTTCAAAAATGCTTCATAAATGTTAAAGCACTATGTAAACGTGGGTAATTCTCCTGCAGTCAGGTAATCCCACTCCTACCTCTAAAAGCACAAGCCAGTGCACACAGAGCACCAGATCTAGCTATGCTTGCCCCAC